AGCAGTAAGTGGCCAGTTTTATAAATTCTGGATCTTTGAGTACATTTTAAATATCGTTGACAACATGCGACATACACAGCACTTTAGCAGCAGTGTGACTGTTTATTCTTGAGGGGAAGGACTCTTATGTGACGTCGGATTTCACAGCTGAACTACTTTTTTTTTTTTTTTTTTCATGGAACCTGTTTTTCACTTGAAAAGGTAACTAAAGAACCATGGCTTTTTGGTCATAAGTACTTGGAAAACATTTTCTCAAAAATGAGTGAACCTGTCACTTCAAGAAGAAACACTACAAGTATGTGGTTACCAATGATAAAATTCAAGCTTTCAAAGGAAACCAAATATTTGGAAAAATGTACTATGTTATTATAAGCATAACAGTTTTCCAGTTCTTATTTTTCTAACAAGATCATGGTAATTTTTTTTATATTTAACTTTGTAGAAGGAAATGTGTCAACACTTGGAAAATTTGCATTATTTTAACAGTTTCCACTGACCAGTAAATAATCATGGTCACAAAATCATGTATGGGTTAAGAGCTTTTCAAAGCGAAAAAGAGACCAGCAGATTTTAATGTAAGAGTATGAAGAGTTCCTTGGTATTGTTTCTGGTACCATACTGAAACTAAACTTTAAGGAACCATTTATGTAGTTGCAAAGAATATGCAATCACTTGAAAGGAATATTAAAATATTCCTCTTTGGCTCTTCCAAAAATTAAAAACTACTATATGATACAGCAATTCTTTTTTTAGGTATTACTAGAAGAATATGAAAACATAGTTCAAAAATATGTATGTATTCCTATGTTCATTGCAGCATAATAGGAATAGTCAAATTATGGAAACAACCTAGTTACCCATTGACAAATGATTGGATAAAGATATATATGTATATATATAAAACCCATAACCACATAGACTATTACTCACCTACAGAAAAGATGAAAGTTTGTCATCTGAGGAACAAAGGTGGAACTTGAGGGAATTATGCTAAGTGAAATAAATCAGAAGGGAAAAGAAAAATACCAGATGATCTCACTCATATGGGTAGTATAAAGAAACACAGCCAATGAACAAACCATACAAACAAATCCTTGTATTCAGACAACAGAACTGAGTTTACCAGAGGTGGTGAAGGTAGAAGGTGGGGGAATGAGAGGATGGGAGAAAAAGAAAGAGTGAGTCCAATAAACTTTGGTAGACCACTGTTAGTATCCTGGAAGTTAAGTATGGCTTGGTATCACTCATTTCAAGAAGTGTGAACCTGTACTCCCAAAATAAATACAGTGTTACAAACTAATGTTACTACAATAAAAATAAAGTGTTCTTCCTTTCCCAGGGACAGTTTGTACAAAACTGGATTTTTCCAGATTTTTTAATGATACTAATACAACAGAGTGCAGTAGAAGTACAAAAATCTAACTTTCTTTTAAGAAGGCAGATATAAAGTAACCCAAAAATGTAAAATCATGGCTCTCTAAATAACAATATCATATGTTCACAATCAATGTGTTTAAATGAATTAATAAGCATTTAAAATATTTCTGTTAATTTCAATGTAGCCAATACTGATAACAACCTACATAAAAACTCTTTGGACTTACAGTAATTTTCAGGAATGTAAGGGAGTCAACCCTGAATCCAAACATTTCATATTTGTTGTTATTAATCATAGCCAACACAGCACAATTACTGTAAACGCTGTTAGAATAAACAGAAACTCAAGGAACTCAAAAGGAACAAGATTAAAGTGTTATGATTTTTGAAAGGTTATCAGCATGTAACATTGCTTTCATTTACCAATGCATCAAAATTAAATTTTATTTGCAACCTTACCAATTCATTTATCTGTTAATCCAAAATATTTACCAACATAACTTTTGTAATACAAATTTTAGAATTTATTTTAAAATAGAGTTAAGTGTCATCTTATAATCTCTAGGCAGTTTCTGCTCCTTCACCATTTCTAAGCCATTCTGGTTTGTCTTTTCAGATGGTATTTTTGACGTTTATACTCACTAGTACAGACCTTTATGTGACCTCTAGAATGCAGAAGACAACTGAGACTTGAGAAATTTGTTCATAAGAAGTTGTCTAGATAATCTTAATTATAATGTAACCTCAGAAAAGTGAAGGCTTTAACTCAGTCTCCCCAGACTTATAGTGTCTAATGTATACTTAAACTCTCTGCATTTTATAATATAAGTTATTTCTCAAAAAAAAAATCTCTACAAAGAATTTTACAAAATAAACGTAATAATTAGAGTTAATCTAGCCATTTTGGTCATCCATAGGTACATACACATTCAACTCTCATATGCATACCTGGTTCTTCTTGAAAATGAATTAACTGAAATTATAGTACAGTAATATACTAAAATTACCAACTGAACAGTCATCCAAATTATATAAAATAAAATAAGCTATCAGGCTGACAAGGGCTGAAATCTAGAACATGGGTTGATTTTAACAAAGAAGGGAGAGAGAAAAACCCTGTTTTTAAAAAATATTTATTAAAAATAAGATTTCTAAAAATACAATACATAATACATTTCAGAAGTAAAAATTCCACAATTTAAATTAAAAACAATCTGCAAAGAAAAATAGAAATATTACATGAATAAAATTAAATCACAAAAATAAATTAAAAAAAAAAGCATTGTTCTTAAGGTAGATAATGGGTTTTTTTTTTTCATTTTAAGAACCAGTGTAGATTTTTCATTTAAATAGTAATATTTCAGAAACATGGTTCTCACTTGTCATTTACCTCCCACTTCCCTGTTATCTCTCAACAAGTATATTCTTTATTGTCATTAGCACTAGAAGGTTTGTGCTGATTTCTCTTTAAATAATCTTAGGGGAAGAGACAAGGTAAAATAGCAGACAATGCACAGGAAAACAGGATTTTTGCAAAAATCCCCAACATATTTAAGGACAGGATCTTCATTGGAATATACTATTATTAATTTTTCTTAAGGAGATAATAGACACAACTGAGGTTGTCAAAAGATTTTAGGAGGAGTGTAAAAATAACAGATACCCTCTATTCATTAATCTTGGCAGTTAGACTTTAAAAGACTTAACTCTACACACAGAGTTCATATAGCTTGATCAACCTGTGCCTAGTTTTACCAACACACCTGAGACTTGCAATTCCCTTGTGTGAATTTCTCTGTGATTGTGGTTCAAATTCTTCCTATCATATCAGTTGCCTTTTCTAACTGCGATAAAGTAGAAATTTCTTTTTAATATTTATCCCTGGAGGACAGCAGATAATGGGTAAAGTCTCTACCACCCAGTACCCTGAACAAATAATTACATTCAGCCACATTAAAATATATGATACATAAACAAGCCAGGTAACTCAGAAATCAGTATGTTGCAAAAAAAAATCTAGGAAATATATTATGGGCAGATTAGAGACATAATGTTGCTTCACCCAATTTTTCAAACATATTTTGCTTTTACCTCTAATGACATGTACATCTGTATATCTATGGATCATTCAAATGATATGAGTCATATTTCACATAAATTTCAGGCTTGATTTTTTTCCATTCAGAATACACTGCAAAACCATACATAATATCTACATTCAAGATGAATTTGATTTTAGTTGACTGAAAATAATGCAAAGCATTCCTAAATGTGATTGTCTACTTTTCAAATACATACAAACTGTTATCTTTTTGCCAGAATTTTTAACGATATCACTGACAGCTAAAGAACATTAAATGAGTGCTTTGAAATTTGGGCTGAAAAAATAGGGAACCAGAATCAAATACATATCAGCCTTATATAATGGTATTTTCTCCCATAATTTCTGTAAAATGAATCACTAAGCAGAATTAAGTTTTTAAAATAACCCTACCCTACATTGTTATATAACAACATCCAGACATCTTTTTTTTTTTTTTTAATAAAGTTCAATCTTCTATTAGCATCATTCACTCTTAAGGAAGCTTATATATGCATTTGGGTTTTAAGGTATTATTTAATCTTTATTTAAAAAATAGACAAATGGCAGTATCATTCTTTAATGCCATTAAAGATTACACACACACACACATACACACATGCAGAATTCTTTGACTGTAATCAGAATAGACCCATAACTTTTAATTTTAGCATTTTGTTTCAGCATTCATTAAGAGTCTAGTAAACCATATTAATTCATTTACAGAAATAAAAGTACAGTTACTATTTCTCATGTATTCCTGCAAAAACAAAACAAAACAAATCTTGTGAAAAGTGGTTCAATTACTCTTTGTAACTTCTACCTATTTAGCGTATCTTTAAAATAACTAATCTATATTAAAATATGAAAGAATCTGCCTAACTAATCTGTCTAACTGAAAAAAAAAAGTACTCAAATGAGATTTAAAACCAATTAAACTGAGGCAGCAATGTGCAAAAACTAAGATCTGTTAATATTGTCGTTATAGCATTGAATTCTATTTCCAAACACAGGATGAAAAAAGAAAACTCTCAGTCAATGAAAAGAAAATTAACTCTTTGGTACGGGAATTAAAAATGTCACTCAATGCTAAAGTGAATAGCACCAGGATGCTGTAGTTGCTGAGGTCGTAAAACACTAATTTCAGGCACCAGTAGGTTAAAATATCACCCAGTGCATACTGGCAAGAACACAGAGCTTAGCAGTAAGCAGACAAGTTTTCCCTTTAGTTAACAGTCAGTGCAACTAAACCCTGTACTCAGTCAAACAGACAAGTGAATCTACAGAAAGAAAACACATTTTTTGTTGATGCAGCTTTGTCTACATCGTTGTTTATATGTAAAGCTACCAAAAAGATCAGAGTGTTGTGCTGAGCGGTGAAAAGCACTACATTACATGGTCCAGGTAATTCACAATACCAAAGGATATGGAGACTTACAAGACATCAAGAACTCCAAAAACTGCCCCAACTTTAGAGTAAAAATTATCCTTTATACAAATTCACTTTTCTTCTAGTGACAAACTTTACTGGTAATACTTATACCCCCACTTTTTTTTTTTTTTTGTAATAGTAGATTGGTAAAATAAGGTCTCAGTCTTCTAAATCAAACTCAGGCAACCTATTCATACCTCCTTGACAATGTATAGCTAGCTGCACCTTCCACATTAGTCATTAACACTTCATGTTAGCTTACACAACAGTTATAATATTTAAAATGCAGAATATCTTCTCAAAAGTATCTGGCCAGCTGAGAAACTTGCATTATAAATTCCTTGAATAAATTAATTTATGTACTAACAACTCTTACACTAAAATGGTATCAAGAAGAGATAATGGCTGAAATGATCGCAGCAGGGCGGTTTTCTAATGTCACAGAAACTCTATCCAATCAACCTTATTACTGAGATATTGATTATTCAGACTTGATCTAATATTCTCTCCATCTTAATAATGGTCCCGACCTATTCTCTATGTCCAGTATTTTAGCTACTCACTACTCTTTTGTACTTGCACTCTACTGTGGATAAAAAGAATAAGACACAATAACAATAAAAGTATAAAAAGTCATTGGCAATACCAACAACATAAAATTTTTAAATAAGATAGTTATGTCTTCAAGTTAGCACTAGCAGGCAGTATTGCAATATCCAAAGAACAAATATGCAGCAAAATTTGTTTTTAAAAATTGAACAATTATAACAGAAGGATAGATATAGCAAACATTTTCCTGCAGTTAAAACCATTATCTAAAGACAGCAGAAATGCTAAATATCGGTTTCTAGAATTAACAACTGGTTCAGAAAAGTTCAAACAAGTTGGCTCTATTACCTTCTCAAATTCTACAACAGAAAAGTCTAGAATTCTACTGAAAATGGCAGAAGACAGAATATAATGCAAATTATGATATATATAGGAAAATTATGAGTGATTTCTAGTATAGAAAATGTGAACATTAAATAGAATACTCACTCATTAGTTAGTTATATGATTAATAATGCTAGCAAGTAGAACATACTAAATGGCTTACTAAGTACACTAGCCAATACTTAACAGTTTTTAAAGCAACAGTAGCTGGGTTACAAAAACCAAAACCTAATACTTGAACCTACGCCTAAACTAGTTAATGTTTGTTAAGTGTAAAGTTTCCCAAATAAATTCAAGATCTATCTACATATATTAGAGTTCATGTAAAATACTTGCGTAATGGAAGCAGCTATAGGTTAGTGAACTTGTGTTGGGTAATTTTTTCATATATGAAATGCAAAGATAGTCAGAGACTAGAGAAAAGTCCAGAGAGAAACTAACAGCTCTTTTGATGAATATTAATGTCACTGTAAACCTAGGTTGGACTGACTATAATTTTATAGCAACACATGTGAGAACACTTGAAGTATCCTGTGATCCAGCATATGTAAACACATGTAAAACTATGTGACCATAATCTAAATTACTTCATACATCTTGGATAGAAGTGTTGTCAAAAGTTAAGTATTCGTATTTAACATTCAGAGTTAATATACCTTTTTGGGTGAAATATACTAGTTACATTTACTTCAACTAATTACTAGAATGGAAGTCAACTTGAAAAAGTCTAATTAAAAAAATAGCTGTAACCCTTAATCTTTATAGAAAAATACCACTAAGCATTAGCAAAAATTCACTCATTAGTTGGGAACAGTTTTAACTCAGTGGTTAAACTATGTGTATGCTTACTGTCTTTACTTCTATTACTATTAAAAACAAACTATGCCTCCTCCTGTCTAAAGGTTGTCAATTTAAATATAACCATAACTTATATTAAGCATAAATATTTTTAATACAACCTTTCAACAAAAAATCCGGCATTTTCTTATGCCGGAAGAGCACTGATTATTTAACTGTTAAGACTTGGTAACAAAATACAACTGACTGCTCCCTGTTTGGGGATTCTGAACTAGTTTTACCTACAAATTTTAGCTCATAAACATTTTTCTTTGCAGAAAGGAACAACATGTGCAACTATTCAAGACATGTAACATAATTAAGGTTAAGAATCTTTCATGTCCAAAAGTCTAATAAATTACTTTTCTCATGTAACACATCCTTTAGCATATATTTTTCTTAAAAAGAAATGGAATATTTATGAAGAAAAACATCACCTAACATATAGATAAGATCAGCAATCTCACTAATCATAATTATTTCTAATGCTCAACAACATTGGTTATGTTCATAGTTATCCAGAACATATAATTAATTGGTTAATAAAGCTTATAGCTGTAACTCTGACTAGAAAAGTTAAAAAAAAAAAGAAAAAAGTATAGAAAGAATTATTTACCTCTTATTTCTTATCATTTTAATGCAATAATAGGATAAAAATCATTCCAAACTGAGATTAAGAAAGCTAAATGTGTTTTAGATATACAGTAAAACACATTAAATACTTGCTTGCCATTGTAACTAAATTCCTGTGTTTCATTATAAATATATAATTTTATTGTAGCATCTTTTCTAATTTTGAGGACCTAATTTGTCAAAGTAAGGCTTAAAATAAAATTAATGGTTTACATTTGTTTATCCTGATCCTATATCAATTTGTAACTGATAATAAAGTATATAAGAAAATACATATAAGTGAAGCAAAGTAATCATATTTGCATGAACTAGACACTGACATAGTAGATGATAACACATTAATTTTCATAAAATTTTACATTTTTGTACATAAACAACCCCTAAGTTTGTACTTCTGATGTGAAGATTTGACTATACAATTTACTTAGGAGGCAGTAACTCTCTAGAGCTGCTATAATTACACCAATCAGCCAAAAGAGGGCGCAGAGAGAACACTGGAGTTTACATACTCCCTTGGAAACTCAAGTTATCTTAAGAATTACAAAACCAAGTTAGTTGTGCTAACTTGGGAATACTGAAAGTTACTGGATAAGCATAGATAGAAACACTTTAATATAGGTTCTTACATAAGCATATTGATATATAGCATTTCTGCCATTCAAACAAAATAAATACATGCCCAGCCTAGTGTTTGTATTCAAGGAACTTAGAGATTCTGTAAATACATAGGGGTCAGGATCAAGGAAGGAAAATAGAAGGAGGGAAGAGGATGGGCCCTACAAGTGTGATATCTAAGAAAAACTAAAAAAAATCCTCAGAATGGGAAAGTGACCATCACTGGTTCTCATTATTGAAGCAGAGGCTAGTACTGAATACCTCCAGTACCTTTCAAAGTAGCTATTGTTATTACATGAATTATAAATATGGTCATAAAGCTCTTTAAGGGGTCTACACTAAATGTTATTTTCTCAAGGTCCTCATGTGAAATGGATATATTCAGCATGAGGCATTCAACTGATCTATCTACAATATCTATGTATTACTTCATTATAACAGTTCTAACACCAGGTCAAATTTGGTCAATAAATTAACTTACACAAAACCCAACCAATTTGCCTTATACAAACTACCAATTTTGTTATTAAGCTCTATAAATATATTTCTCATATTAAATTACTATGTATCTTATCAGCACCAATAAATATTTTCATTTGCCACTTCTAAGTTTTTAAATAAAGCATTCTAATCAGAACATAAAAATCATGGTAATTATAGCTGAGAAGAGCTTAGTCTATTATTTTAGAAGATATTTACAATTTCCGAAAGAGCATAATTAATTGACTGACAAGTGTTACCTTCTGTTCTCATGATTTCCCAGGTCTGACTTCTTACTATCAAAACTAAGAGGAAAATATTGACATGCTCCAAGAACAGTAAACTCCTTCAATCTTCTCTTCAAGGGAAAGACTGATACATACTTTAAAAGATATATGGATTTTGCAGTATTCTAATGGAAAAAAAATTGAAAGCTGAATTTTTTTCAAAGCATGCTACATGTCTTTTCATACACACTTCTATGCTTTTCAACAGTTCATCACTATTTGCAATTTAATTTGTGTAAGGCTAGTGAATAGATCATTAACTTTTTTATTTCAAAGTCATTTCCTAACACTACTAATAAAAGTCGTAATTTAAGTCATAGTTGGCCAATTGCAACTTAATTTCAATTTGGATGACTGATTATGGATAGACAAAGGTTACATTTATTAGTAACTCCCTATAAATAAAATTTCAGTATCAATTGGCCAATATTAAATATAAACCTTCATTGTACAATTTTAGATATATTAGTAGGTAAATAAAAGTATATGTATTTTCAAAAGCACAATATTCCTCTTTATACTGTACATTATATATTATATCTAGTTATACTAGCATCTTAAAAACATATGCATCCTAATATAACTGCACTAGAAAAAGTACCTGTGAAATTATTGCAAATTCTCTGCCCTTTTCCCTCACCAAATCTTAGGGTAAAGTAGGACTGTGTGCCCACTGCTCACAAATTTCTCCTTGCAGCAAATATTTTAACAACCACCATTTATCACAATAGTAGAGAGGAAGGGAATGGGAGAGCTAATGTGAACAAAATAATTAAGCTTTCCGTCTAAACAGGGTAGGTAGTTGGTGTTTATTTTACTTTGTTTTGGTGAAGAAAAAGGAGAAGAAGTTAGAAAGCTACTTCTAAGAAAACACTGCTCCTTTTGTTTTGTTGTCAATTCAATCCTAAGCTGCATTTTAAAAAACTCCTGCAGCACATATAAAAGGAAGTGTATTTTTTATACTGTACTTGAAAGAGAAAATTTACATGTAAGATGTATCTACTTTTGTAAAACCTGAAGAACTGATTTCAGATTTGGTTAGTACTGCTTAGAGTGAAAAATTTAAATAAACATTTAAAATGTCCCATAAATTAAAATATGTAATATTGTCAGTTTTAAAAGAAATCATGTACAATTCTTTTAAACCAATCATTGCCTTTTGATATTAATAACAAAAGCATTTAAAGAAATCCCTGTGGAAACCTAATTTGAAAGTAAACATGCTTTAAAACTTAAATATAGATCTTGTATTAGTCCCACAACAGGATCAAGATCACTATTAAAATAAAGCATGGGGCACATTATGATGCCTAAGATTGGTGGGTGGATTTTAATTGACTTGAAGACTGTCATAGTTCTATTATCAGAAAACCTGTAACGCATTTCCAGCATGGAGGACCCATCTGTGCCCACCATCCATCTGTTTAGACGTGATTGGCAAAGTGGTAGGGAACTCGCAGTGGTTGCCTCTGCCTGAAAGGAATAAACCACAGGATCTTCCAACGAGTGCCAAAAACTTCTGAGAAGGTCTGCTGCCATGGCTTTCGGGGCCTCGATCTACAGAAGACAGCATTATTAGTGAAAGACAGCACTCCCATGGTGCACTTCAGTCAGCTAAAACAATACAGGTTGGCTGGGGATCCATTACTGGACTCTGATGAATTGTGTCCCAGCATCACAAATACAGCTTTTCTTTCATTATGGCAGGCAGCTGAGTTTTAACTCTGGATAGCAGATATTGTATCTGTGTCGTCAATCAACCGAGAGCAACTTTTGAAGCAAAGGAGAATCTCAGGATTAACAGAATGTGTGTCAACAACACAGTAGCAAATCTCTTTTGATGTACTTTCAGGACAAATAATTCAGCATACTTTAGTTAGACAAGGAGTAAGAATTATTAGCATTTATTTTGCTTAAAAACTATCATGGCTAGAAGATCCCTGCCATAACACTGATTTATATTTGTCTAGCTAAGGGCCTAGACAAGACACCAGGAAAATTATGTTTCTATTATTCTGTACACAATTTAAAAATGTGGATCAGTTGTTTCCATTTTTAATCACAACAGTACAGAGTTCACTTTTATACTTACATTTCTTCACAACAGTTTGACATCTTTTCAATAGATGTTGTATCCTATTAAAAATTAAAAAAAATATACTTTGTAATAAAGTTATCAAGACTTTATATTTCGTGATGTTCTTAGTCAGTTTCTTCTAAAGATCCAGTTTGTGTGAATACTAAGAATTTTAAATTATCTGCATACATTGCCAAAATTCCCCTAAAAATATAGGATCAATATTATTACAGCATGACAAATTTTTTTTCAATTACAAACTTCACAAAAATTACAGAAATTCACTTCATTAAAATACAGCACTTTATTATACTTGTTTTCTTGATAATCCCTTTAAAATTCTAGTATCTATTTTTAGTTCAACTATCAGTGAATGTGTACTAAAAAACAACAAATAACAAATAAAAGACACTAAAGAAAGAAAAATGCCAACAGTTTAAGAGTGTTACTGGCTCTGGATTTATGTAAGCAAACGCAAATGCAAATGCAAAATGGCATTCACCGCACTACAGTATCTATTACTTCAAACCGTGAAGTTAACATATTAGTGTTTCTCGATAAAAACAATTTCCTTTTGTCCAACAAAAAAATGAATTTTGTCATAATAATGCAATTTTGATGTGTTTTTGAAGGCTCAAAACACAAATATATAAGAAAAGCAATTCAACAAACAAACAGAAAAAAGATTCTAAACATACTAGTTTCATTAGATTTAATAGGTCTATCAGTAGTTTGAAAAATTATGGTAACACTGCAAGATCAGACTAAAATATTCTATTCTTACTATATAGAAATATACTAGATTATAACTTTGAGGAAATTATTTATGATTATAAAAGAAACAGGTTTAAATACTCTTTAGACTTCACATAAGAAACATTATCAAGTACTTCTGACATCTTTCTAGAATGTATTTCAAGAAAGAAGTAGAATACTACCTATTAAATCATGTAAATGTGTGGTTAGTCTATCAAAGGATGTAATGTTTACCATGATTGTATGAACAGGATTTAAGAGGCTAGCTAAAAAAGCTATTTTACCCACTAGAAATGAAAATGCTTATCTCTCAAATCAGCTATCTAGAATACTATTTTAAAAGTACAATTTGTATTTGAACGGCCAAATACGTCACATTATTGCACTGACACTTGTAAGACATACCAGAATAACACAAGTTATGACACAAACATGTACACAATTGAAACATTAAACTGTAAGAGGAGAAAAGTCACCACTGACAAAGACACCGAGTATCAAAAGTTATTTCTGTGTGCTAAAAGAAATATTTAATATATGTTTTTTTAGCTCTATAAAGCAGAGAAGTATGGAATATTTTAGAAAAAAAACATACTAAAAATAAGCAAAATAGTTCTGGGCATGTAATTCCATTAAGATTTAATATTTTCTTTAGTGACCATCAGAAAACAACCAGTAGGATAGATCTCTTCAGTAAGTATGCCTTATAAATTCCTAGTTATGTATAAATCACAACCACCCAGTAAAGTTCATTCTTCAAGGACTGAGAGACACAAGTTATTATTGTATGGGATCTACCATTAGGTATCTTATTTCCACAGTAGTATTTATGTTTTGATTATGATCTAATATTCAAAACAGCTAAGATTTTCATCAGCCTATATAACTAAAAGAGACACGAAAATGCTTTCCAATTAAAAAAATGGGAAGTTTCTTTTTCTTAAAAAATAAAAAAGAATAAACTAGAAACAGAAGACTTGCAGAAATAAAGTAGGTCTTACCTACTTTATCAACCATTTTGCACTTGGTTGATTTTCAAGTTCTAAGAAAATATGCTTGACTTCAAATGAAAGTTGGATCCTAACTAATGTGATTATGTCTGAATGGGAAAAAAAAGATTCCTAGCAGAAAAGGTAACTTATCTTGCTTTGAGTTCATTCTCACCAAGCAACACTGTCATATATGTTGTTGCATGGCAGAGAGTGTATGCTAAAGAGCCTTTGGCATACCTGAAGATGGTATATAAGGGAATAAATAATCAATCTGGTTTATGTGACTACTGCTTTAGAGTCTGGAAGTAAGAGTCATTGCCTCTGAACCAGATTAACACTAGAAATACTCTTTTTAAATGCCATTTATAGACTGACAAACTGAAGACATGATGAAAGTAAAGATATTCTATCAGAAAGACTCCATGAAGTGAGTTCAATCTAACCTCAATGATCAGTTTATTACACGTCTTGGCAAGGTTTTCAATTGTTGCACATACCTAATTCAATGACTGTTGATTTAATCTGAGCTTAGAAACACTACTCAGGAAAGTTTTCCGGAGATTATATACCTGTTTTATCTGTCTCTACTACTTCTGAAATGGACTTCTAGTTGACTTTTTAGGACCTTTAATCAACATAGAGACAGCAGCTCACTGAACTTTGTATCAGAGCACTGGCAAGCATAAAGTATGTTCTGAATACATACACTGCAACATTAAGTTAACTGAACATGAACAGAAACAACACATTCTTTAAATTTCTTTTTTTTTTTTGAAATCTAGAGAAAATTTCCTGTCAATCAAGTTCTCCTTGTTTGAAGCCATGATTCATTATATTCCTCATTTGAAATAGTTAAAATATCCATCGCCAACATAAGACCAAATACATCATTCACTAGAGATCTGAAATTCACATAAATATTTAATCAATCATAAAACTAAAATGAGAGAGCAGACCTTACCATTACAGACACTAAAAAAGTATTTCCCAAATAAATTCCAATCTCCTCTTCGAGCAACTTTCTGATTATTTAAAACCCAAAACTCTGCATTTCATTCTTCAAATCATAATAACCTCTAAGGTTTTTATACAGATTGAGTTAATATATATTAAATCCCTTAATAACGCAATAATTGACATTCCTAGTTTTTACTAGTTGTCTCCTAAACACGTTCTGACAGAGCTTAGAGCTATAACATTTTACTACACCAGAATTTAACTTTTTAAAATATTTACACAAACAAGTGGTGTTTATAATGTAAGACGAATTACAGAGACCATGGGAAGATACATAGATAAAATCCAGTGTGCCCAAGAAGTTTATAATCTATTTTTTTTAAGTCCTAAAGTTGGCTTAAACCAACACTCAATTTATTTCAAAAATTTCACTAATTACCAATTATGACCTTCCTTAGCATCAAGTTTACGACCTAGAGAAAGTAGTTTAGTAAACATACAAAAAAGTAACTGCAGGAATACACAGAGAATGACATATTGTATTAATAAGATTTATATTTAACATAAAATTGTTTAAAAGTTGTTTGCAGTCTATACTCAATTTCAAATACTCTTAGGTTTTTAAACACAAAAGTAAGTGTACTTTCAGTCAGATTTTTGGCTGTCAGTCGATGTAAGATGGTAGTAACTAAATATTGGTAAAGTGGGACAGAGAGAAACAAATGAATCATTGTGGAAAAAGGCTCTACAAGTAAACTAAAACATAAGATTTACTGGTGTTTTTTTTTCTCTGTCCTATAATGTTCAAAAGTGAGATTAAGTACTTATGTGGATTCAGAACATGAGATAATAAAATGAATGGCTAGGGAAATATGCAAGGAAAACTCAAATGTCTAACTCCCTTACCATTTTTTAAAAAAGCATCTGTTAAGCAATTAACAACTCTTTAAGAAAATTAAAGTGCACTATTCCTACTGAAAAAAAAATATATAAATAGACTGAAAACGTTTTTAATTACTTTTAATCTTAGGAGAAATATTTCCAAGGAGTGTATCATATAAGCAAACAGAAATGACATAATACATTTTCACATAGGAATATGCTTATGCTAAAGAGTATTCCAATTCCACACATAATCATTCTGAAGATAGCAGGAATTTTTAAAAAGGATTTTGTATTATCATGCAATGTAGCTTCATATGTATTTAAGCTGAATTCCTCGGTAAGGGGTGGGGGATCTAATTTCTATAAAACTTTCTATTGTGTCCATAATTCAAAGAAGTATTATAGCTGAAGTATTAACATATAATATTAAAAGAATCTATAAGAAGTGATATTTTAAATTGTAATGAATATTCTAGGGTTTAAAAAGCTGAGAATATATTTCATATGTAGTATATTGGAAATAATACATTTAAAATACATTTTGTTTTAATTAAACAAAAATTTAATTTTAAAAAACCCAAAATGCTGTAGATATTCCTTAATGGAAAGTGAACTGGTTTCAGCATAATTAGTATTGATTTCCATATTTGCATTGGAGTTGTGTAAACCAATATAATCTGTACTGAGATTGTGCTAAATGCTGCTAATTCACAGCAGTCAGTGGGATTCTTCGCAAATTTTAATTATTAAGTTTTAACCTCAGGACTACATTTCTAGCTGTATTTTTAATGTAAAGTAAATCCACTAATTGTCTGGTTGTTGAGGACACTATTTAATAAATAATCTCATTTAAAATAATTTGCCATTTTGAGCATAAAATACTTCTTACTGTATAAGACAGCCAAGTTAAGTCAAGTCATCCTTGCATTTGTGAGTCTTTCCGTATTTACTGCGTAATCATGAGTCAGTACTTAGGGAGGAAAAGCCAACATTAGTACCTGTACGGCCAAATGCAAAAATCTTTCCCTGACTGCAAGAAAGTACATCTTCTCTACCCTAGAGTCAACCTCACCACAACTGAGAAAAGCACTGAGCTCCAGAGGCATCATCAAAAGCCTAAGTTATTATATGAACTCCATGGCGCCCAGAAAACAAAAACACATGGATACAAAATTTAGCTAAACTGTCAGAGCAGTGTCATGGTATACAATAGCTCACTGTCAGAACCTCACCAGAAGGCACTGTACCAGCTGTTGTAGGACTTCTTGATTAACTCTCTCCAAGCCCAGTGACTGAAAACATGACTAATGCAATCACACAGCACTATTAGTATTGGTACTCATCAGAATGGACATTATTCTTGGCTGTGTGTGAAATACTGTTCAAGAAGAAATCCTGACAACATCAATTACATTAATAGCAACATCACTGTCCATTCAGAAACAGGCAGAAAAATGGCTAAACAGTCT